ATAGTATACATTTGTAAAATATTTTAACATTTCTATAGTACATATATGGTAAAGAGTATATTACCCAACTTACAATGTTTTTTTTTATGATGGTCCTTTTTAATTTTAGTTTAATGATTCTTTAATTTAACTGTGTAAAATGTATGACGGAAATAGTAAAGTCAACTGCTTAATTTATAAGCACATATTTATATTTAATTCGTGATTATAGCAGTGCAATGATTAAATCCGAAACTGGAAATTCATAATGCTAACTTTGGATTGGGATAAAAAGGTCCGCTGAGATTTCTTGTTAACACTTTGAAAAAATAACAAGAATAGCATGTAAGTATTTTAACGATTTGAAATCAATTAGTTAATGTTACTAAATTTACTAAATTAATGCAAATGATTATTATGTTTACCCTTTAAGTGACATAGAAATATTGCCGTATGTTAGCGATTACAGGTAATTATAGTGATGTTACCCCGAATTCTTTTTTGGGAGGCGCTAATGACCAATTGTTTTTGTATTTGTCTTATTTTAGTTTGTCTTCAGCTTATTGCTTTTACAGTGCTTAAGTCATATACTGTAAATATGAATAATTTAACAATGAGGGAGCTTTAACCCCCTCTTATTGATTAAATCACTGAGTATTCGAAATTTCTTTAATGCCTTATAACTAGATTGGTTTGATTATTTTTATTAATAGTTAACTATTTTTAGAGGGAGGGAGGTGGGAAGGTAACTAAATCGTCCTTCTTAATAATTTTATTCAGCTGGGAGACTACGTTCTTCTAGTTTTACAAAATTATAACAAAAAAAATCGTTTAAAAATTCAATAATATAATCCACATTTATTTTGAACTAGCCTGTAAAGTTCTAGTTTCGTCTATAAACAAAGGACTTGAAAGAGAATTTTAAGAATTTCCAGTTTTTTTCTAGAATTTTAATCTTGATATTGAAATTAATTCATATTGATTTTTATAACTATTATGTTTTTTTTTTGTTATTGTCATTTTATAATTTACTTTAAAACACTACTATAAGTAAATATTACAATTTATTAAATGAATTTTTTTAATCGAAATATATAATAAATAGTTACTATTTACAAAAATTAAAATCATAATGATTTCTCAATGAGTTTAGCAACATTTACATTTTTTATAATTGAATAGTGATCTCCTTCAACAAAATGAACGACTACTTTCTGTTTGAAATACTGTAAAAAATTAACAAGTGTGAATGATTCATTAATATGAACAAATAAATAAGTTAATTCAGGGGCATATTTACGGGAAGGGAGTTTTAGGTTTAAACTCACATTGGATACCTCTACAAAATATATAAAATTCGAAACAATGTTAAGGGTATAAGAGATATTTTTTTTATGTAAAATCTCACCCAGAAAATTGTTTAGATATATCACTGAGTTATTTATAATAAAGTATAGAAAATTACGTTTGAAAGTTCGTAGTCTTCGGATAATGGTAAACTGTACTCAATAGGACGAATCAATACTGCAGGAGATTTTAAATGACCAGTAGGATTTTCTTTATAATTAATTATTGCTTGAATTTTGTTATAAACTGATGTTAATAAATGCTTTTGATATTCTTTGCTATATTGTGCATCTTCAGGAGTTAAGTTTACAAAGAATTGCATACGCTCTTCCCAGCTGTTAAGACTATAAAGATTCTTTTCGTGCTAAAACAATATAAAGGTACATCGATTAGTAGTAAATATATATGTATATATTAGCGTCAATTGAAAAAATAGTCTTACTTGTTTTTTATTACTTGGCCAAACAAGGTCTAAAAATCTCAAAATTAATTTTACTTGAATGTCATTTTCTTCAGATTCGTTTCCTTTGAAAGCAATTTTAGTAATTCCTTTTAGGAACAAAGGTGAACTGTCAATTAGCCATAATTTCACAGAACGATTACTTTGTTCTAATAATTTTGTAAGTTCAAGTGCAATTAAACCACCAAACGAATATCCAAGAAGTAAAACTTCTTGGCCTATTGATACTCGTGCTTCGATCAACTAAAATATAAATGTTTATTTAAGATCTTACTTTTTCATAACATTATTATGAGAAATTTATTTCTACTAAATAACTAACCAAAAAATAGGATAGTGCCATTTCTTCAATTGTTTTTGCTTCACTTTCTAAATTATACTGTATACATAATATTTGTATATTTAAATTACTGGATAAAGGTTCCATAATTGTTGCAATGCCTTCTAGACCCGGGATAACAAATAATGTACGGTGACTACTAACTGGTTGTTCTATATTAGAACCATTATCACTTAATGAAGGAATACGTATTAAAGAATTATATGCAGTTGATTCATCTCCGATTGCTTGGATTAAATAATTAAGACCTATTTCTGATAATTTTGTTATAGATTCTAATGGAGTGGATGTTTCATTATTTGTATTTTCTTCTTTACCTGAGGCCTCAATTTCTTGTAATTTAGCAAAAGTCATACCTCTAATATCTTGAGGTGTTAAGAACACTTCAAATTGTCTTTCCAAAGTTTGTTTTATTTCTACTGCCATCATAGAATCCATTCCAAGTTCAGCTAGGGTAGAATGTAAACTTATAGTTTTCAGATCTTTAAGACCAAGAATATTAATTACAGTATCAACTATAGTTCCTGCGCTACTTCCGGTTGCTCTTTTCTCTGCAACTACCATACTAGAAACAATTGGATACTGCTTTTGACTTAATAAATTATCTAATACTTCTAAACAATTTCCAATTTTTTGTTGTAATGTTCCCCCAATGACTACTTCTTGATTATCCTCAGCCATATCTGCAACTAATCCTACTTCACCTACTGCCCCCCATTCAACAGCTAATGCAGGTAATCCATCAGCATGGCGAGATTCACATATTCTTTCCATGACCGAGTTTGACATACCATAATTAGTTTGGCCAGCATTTCCTCGGCCACAACTAACACTAGAGAATATAACAAAATATTCAAGTTTTGGACACAAAATTCTTGAAAATTCATCAAGATATTTTGTGGCAATTGATTTTGGTCCTGCGGAAGCCTTAAAGTCTTCTTCAGTTTGATTTTCAAATAAAGCGTCTCTTAAAACCTTATATAATAAACTATGCATTTGAAAAATGTCTTTATTTTATTAAATTATAAGTTATATGATTTACCACTGCAAGATTAAATATGGCTGAAACTGGTCCCATCTCATTAGCTTGCAACAATAATTGCTCGACACCTTCTTTGGTTGTAATATCTGCAGTTGATATAACTACTTTAACGCCATAAGATTCCCACATTCGTTTTCTCATTGCTTGATATCCATTTCGTATTCCAGTTCTTGAAGTTAAAACTACATTTCGCGCTCCTCTCAAAACCATCCAATCAGCTAGTTCAAGACCAAATCCTCCAAGTCCACCTATTGATCACAATCTACGTTTAATGACAAATTATCAGGCATTTTATACGTTAAAATTACGTTTGAACTCAACATTTTTTTATAAAAATAATTTTATATGTATTAACTTAAATGTAAATTATCATCTAAAGAATTAAAAGCATTATATTTAAAGAGAGTGATAGAGTATTATGACACTCCCTTCAAACAGGTGCTATTCTTTTTAATGATTTATATTTTCTATCCAATTACATTGTTAATTTTTTTTAATGTTTATTTATAAGAAATATTAAAAATGGTCATCTTACTTTTTTAAAAAAGTGACATGTTTTGTTTCGTACTATGCAATGTTAGCTTGATTGGTTATTTAATAAAAGCAAATAATTAAATAGTATACATACATATGTAATATCAAGTGTATATTAATTTATAACTATTTTTAGGCATTCGGTATTGCCCAACGCAACTTTATTGGTAATAAAATAGCTGCTGCGGATTACGCACATACGTACACGAGAATGTTATGTATAACAGCTACTGCTTGAAAACCATTAGTTTGAACTACCCGTTTTTGTTCCATCAGTACAACGAAACTACTGATGCAATAATAATTCTGAAAACAGATCTGAATTNGAAACTACTGATGCAATAATAATTCTGAAAACAGATCTGAATTCAGTATCATATCACTTAAATATCGTACTGGTCACTTATTAAAAATTGTGATTCCTTCAATGTAAAAATTTATTTTGAAAAAATTTTAATTTTCAAAAATGTTAAGGCGTCTGGGTACCGACCGCTTTTTAGTCAAAAACAACCCGTTTTTATTCCATCAGTACGACGTAACTAATGATGCGATAAGAATTCTGAAAACATATCTGAATTCAGAATTATGTCACTTAGGTATCGGTCAGGCCATTTTTTTTAATTTTTGATGTTTTTAACCCTTAAGTATAGTTTACATTTTTGAATAATTTTAATTTTTTCAAAATAAATTTATGCGTCGAAGGAATCAAAAATTAAAAAAAATGGCCTGACCAATACCTAAGTGATATAATTCTGAATTCAGATATGTTTTCAGAATTCTTATCGCATCAGTAGTTACGTCATACTGATGGAACAAAAACGGGTTGTTTTGTACGTTTAAACTAATGAATTTCAAACAGTAGCTGATATATCTGACATGCTCGTGCGCGTATGCGCGTTATCCGCAGCAGCTATTTTATTGCCCATAGTGTTGCATAGGGAATACCGACTGCCTAAAAATAGTCACAAATGTATACAGTAGAACTCCAATTATCCGAACTCCGACCATCCGAATCGCCGATTATCCGAATCACTTTCAGAAAAAATCAGAAAAAAATTTGTCCAAAGTCCGCGGCGTCAGTGTAGGCACAACACGTGGTAAGAGTTCCCACTCCAGTTCCGGCGCATTGCAGTCACCTGTCATTGTTTGTTTTGATTAGTCAGTGAATGGGTCCCGGTCCCCATTAATTCGGATAATTGGAGTTCTACTGTAGTTGATTTTACATTTGTATATATGATATTTGTTTTTATCTAATGACTGACAAAGCTATAATTGCATGATACGAAACAAATTTTGTTGTTATATTCCTATACAGGGTGTTCAGTAAGTCAGGAAACGGGTTTCTATTGTTCTTATTGTTACAAACAATGAGAACAATAGAAACCCGTTTCCTGACTTACTGAACACCCTGTATAAGTGTCGCTAAATAAAAGGTCATAAAAAACTATTGCTATCAAAAAAAAATTTTAAAATATTAAAAGTAATGTATTAACATAATATAAGTGGCCANTTTTTTTTTTTTTTTTTTGGGGGGGGGGGGTTTATTTCATATTAAATTTTTACTATTTAATATTTAAAAATCTATTTTTTTTTTAATTAATTGATAATATTATAAACAAAGTGTAAAAAATAATTTTAAATTATACCTTTACTTTACTTATGAATAATTTTTTTTTTTGGATCTTGTGGGGGGGTGTAAACCCCTAAACCCCCCTGTGATGACGCTACTGTAGGTGACACCAAAAATAAATCTGGTGAGATATGTATATATAAAAATAATTTTCATACACTTTCTCAGCTTCCATAGAAAACTGAGAAGGTATTAGTTTTACTATGATATAATTTTGGCTTGTGTCTATCCATATCTGTGCCTATTGGATTGTTATTATTCAATAATACGCCAAAAGATCAAAAAATGTATCTTGTTGATGTATTAGCATTATAATTTAATAATTTTCAGTTAAATCTGCCTCAATAACGTATTTTTCTCAGTCGCACACTATGTTATGAACTTCATTTGAAATGTACTCATACATAAATTGCTTGATCATCAAATAACAGGACAATATAAAAGTAAAATATAGTAAAAAAACAATATATAAAAAGCAGTTCTTTAAATGTATGACTTCAAACATTTATTAATAAAGTGTACTTTTAGGTATGGTAATTGATAAAATTGAAAAAAAAATGAAGTGTGGAATAATATGTGACCACTATTAGAAAAGTTCTACATGGATTGTGTATTACCAGAGATAATTGACTCTCGTTTTAACAAAGAACTTCCCATAAGAACAGGCTTATAAAACTTAAATATCATACTGTGTAAATAATTTAATTTTGTATATTGATTTCTTAAAATTCAAATTAAAGTTTTTTTAAAATTTTATAACTTCAAAATAATTGATATGGATGTCAAATGATTTAATGTGTTTTCTGTAAATATTTAGTTTTTCTTACTCATCGTAAATAAATAATTTAATTATTTCTATAATTAATTAAAATTTGTGAAATCATGACGCGTCAATAAGTAATTACGGTGAGGCTGGTGCTAAACTATGGTTTTTATACTACATAAAATAAACGTGCGTCGTTATTAAATCAATATAATCGTATAACATCAAAAAGTAAGGTAGGTACATAAGCGGTTTTGTTATCGACTATAACACGACGAAAATACTCCCAATAATGGATACTCACACTAATAATCATTTACTTCTCACACAATGACACTGCGTAACATGTAAAATTCGCAAAATTGCCTATATTCGACCCCTGAAAAAAGGTCGGTACACAGACGCCTTAAAAGTATTTGTGAACTATTTTTGCGCTTCTCCGAGTAGAAAATAAAGTTAAATTAAAGAAATAAATATCTCATAGTAATTGGCTTATTTCTTAAATGTTAAAAGTGAGAAAAGTAACATGTTATTTCTTTATAGTATTGAATAGTGTATTTTATGTTGTTACCAATACTGTTTTAATGTATATTAATACTTTAATGTATTATTTACCTTCTAATACTGTGATAATTAAAAAGAATATTTATAATTATTTTGCACAAACACACCTTAAATAAATATACAAATAAAAAATTACATAATTACCACAAACTATACAAGTTGATATTTCATTAAATAATACTCGTGGATATACTGTCATATTCTTTGGATCTGGTTTGATTATGTTTTCTTCTTCTTCTGGTCTACACTTAATTATTACTTTTCCAATATGTTTACCAGCTCCCATGTATCTGAAAGCATGCTCTACTTGATCTTGTTCGAAGACTGTGCGAATTAAAGGCTTAATAGCATCTTTATTCAAAAGTTCTTGAACTCCGTCTTTCAATACTTGTCTTAATTCTACAGTACTATAGAACAAAGAGTCCAACATAACACCATGGAAACTTATTTCTTTTAAGAAGAGTTCCATTCCTAGTATATGGCATTAATTTAAATTAATATTTAGCAGAATCAAAGAGATTTATAAAGAAAACTTTTAGCCGAAAAAACTTACCTAGCAGACTGTTATTTGCCAAATCGAATTTTCCAATTTCCAGAAAACGTCCACCAGTAGCCAAACATCTTACAGATGCTATTAGTTTTTCCTCGGCTAAGGAATTTAATACTATATCTACTCCTTTACCATCAGTTTCCATCATAATCATTTGCTCAAATGAAGTATCTCGTGAATTTCCTATATGACTTTCTGGTATCTAAAATTTTTGTTTGTTTTTTTATAATTAAGTTTATTAATTGAATAAAAAATTATTACTTGTGGGAAGTTATTTCTAATAAATTCTCTTTTTTCTGGTGTTCCTACTGTAGTGAAAATATTACATTCGTAAAATAGTGCTATATTTATTGCAGCTTGACCAACTCCGCCTGTTCCAGCGTGTATTAAAACCGAATCTCCATGTTTAATGCGACCGTTGACTAAAAAAGCATAAAATACCTGAAAGAAATAATTATAAAATTATAGTAAATTTTTAAATATAGTTATTCATATTTATTAAAATATTTTTTATACTGTTCCATAAACCACTGGGACAGTGGCTGCATCTTCCAATGACCATTTATCGGGTACTTTCCAACTCATCAATTTATCTACTTTCACCAGATTTGACAGTCCTCTAGTAGGTGATATTCCCATAATTTTTTCTCCTAGTATGTTTCGCCCAGAATACTCAAAACCGATAACAGTCTCCTGATCTAATCGACCTTTAGCGACTATTTCTGGAGCAAGTTTTCCACTTGCTAGCATAATGTCTCGGAAGTTCAAAGCTGTGTAATATATATGAACAATATCTAATTTATTTTTTTCTGTTACTTTTATTGGACCAGCAATCCATTTTAAAGAAGAAAGATCCCCTCGAATAGTAGAATTGACGTATGCATGTTCACACTCCACTAATGAAGGAGGTTCAAGTAACAAATGTCTGTAAGAGCCCCATGTATTATTTTTTAATACATTCAGAGCTAAATTTTTTTTAAGTTGAGATTTGTAAAATGGATTTTCTAAAGAAAAATCTGGTGCATTTGAGTCCATTATAAAAAAACACCTGAAAAAATTTACTAATAAAATAAATAAATTTTAAAAGCTAATTTCAATTTCTTTGGGATCATAATTTTTGAATTTATAATAGACCAATTTTTACTGTCGTTAATTTTACAAACCTCGTTCTTTCACCTCCTGGCTCTTTTCTAATGCAGTTAAATAGTCCAATAATACCATTTGATTGCTCTTTTTCAGCAAGAAGAATCACTTTTCGATCCTTGTTTACATCGTCAGGTTTCAAAATATTTTGTAATGAAGAGAGCCATGAAAATTCAGAGCTCGATATTTTTACAACAATTGGATTATCAGTTTGTTCTACTGGCTAATCAAATGAATACATTTTATTACTATTTGTACTATCAAAAACTAAACAATAGTTATGTTAAATAGGGGACTATTAAAAATGGATCTTACTTTTTTTCATTATTTATTGCCGTTAATTTATTTCATTATTATAATAATAATGAACTTAATAAAAATATTTGTTTAAAATCATTATTTAATTTCTTGGTCTAGGAGAAAAGGGACTTTAAGGAGGCTGAAACCCTCAGTTGGTCGTGTGATTTCAGAATATTAAATTTGTCGCGCGGTGTAATAATTTTCTGTAATTAAAATCTACTTGTTAAATTAACAAGTTTTGTAAAATTATATTTAATTATAAAGAGAATATTAGAGAATTTAATATTTTATTTTGAAATTTTCTCTTACATTTTTTCATTTGCAATGTACAATGCAGTTTTTGAAAATTTAATAATATAAATAGTATATAAAAAATATATTATTGTTAAAATTGCTATAGTTTTTAGTACCAAAGCACTCAAGATAAATTTATTTTTAACGAACTCATGCATAATATGTAAATAACATATAATAAAATTTTCAATATAAACGATATAACAGTGAAAACACTACTCCACTGCGGAGAGTAAATTTTTGTCGAAAAATAAAACTTAAATTGTTAGTATAGAACATATTAGTTGATAAAACGCTAAGCCAATTCATCTAATACTTATATAAATCATATCCCATGCGAATGTCTAAAGGTTAAGTCAAAAATATTTATATATTAATTATAATTAAAAATATGATTAAAACACTTACAAGTTTAATATAATATTCTATAGTTATAATAATAAACTAAATTTCATTATAAATGAAAAATATTTTATTATTTTAATATTTATTGGCTAAAATTTTATGTTAACTTATCATTAGGACCCAGATATTAATGTTATTTCATTTTATGGTAATCATAGACGTTACTCTCCAGACACAAAATTCGATTTATTTAATGAAAAATTAAAAAATAGAACTATTATTTTGCATTTTTCCAGTAATTTCAACACATTTTAAATCACAAATAGGCAAAAATTATAATTTTTTATTAAAAAATATGAATAATTGTTTTTAGGGCATAAAGTGTGGGTCTTTCTTATCAGTGATTTTTTGTTTGAATTAAAATAAATATTTTAATTTTGATTCAATAAACATTAGTTTAATCGTTTAGAAATATAGAAAAGTCGCAAATTGTTTTTAAATATATTTAAAATTTACTTTTTTAATTCAAAAGTAATTATTGAAGTTAACTTAACATGCTCAATTCATCTTAATCATAGGGTTTAGATGCATATTTAATAACCTATATTGGGTAAAAGTTTTATTATCGAACTACCAAAACACGAAATTCAACAGAAAAATCGAAATGATTAATATTAGAAAAAAAAGTTGTTTTAAACATAAAACTTGAATAGTTACATTGAAAAACTAATAAAAAAAGTATTAAACCTAGGTTACTCTGTAGAAAATTTTTTTAATTAATTTGTCAAGTTATTAAAACAATTCAACTCAGTCATATTACTTGGTTCAAATAACTATCATATATTTTATAATATATTATGACCTTGTATATATTTATGTTAGTTAGTTTCTAAATGTCAAAAAATCTACTTTGTTAACTGTAAGTCTAGATGACGACATGTTAGGAAGACTTTATAAAAAAAATAATAATAATAATATATAATAATGTAGAGTACATTTTTTTAGCAATCATTATAATGTATGCATTTAAATATATCATAAACATTTATAGATTATAATATATATGACAATGGTGGGCTTAACTAGTTAAAAAGTTAATTTTTTTAACTTTTCAATTAACTAATTAATTATTTTTCTTATAAACTTTTTAACTTAACTAATTTAATTTTCTGTTGAAATAACTTAGCTTTTTCAGTTAATTAGTTAAAATAACAGTTAAGTTAAATTCAATATTTCATAAAAAAATGTATGTCTTTATACGTACGTGTACGTGGTTTAAAATTTAAAAAAAATGAAAATTCCCCCCAAATATTATATTTATATAATAATAATTATAATTTCCTGAATTTTTTCAGACATGTATATAATTTTTAACTGATTATTTTAATAATTAGTTTTGTTAATTAATTTTTTGTTATTTTTAATATTTTTTTCCTAATTTTAAAAGGTATGATGAGTTATATGATAGGCTAGGAACAAAGGAAGGTAAAAAATAAGTCTATAGATTTGAAAAAGTAAGGGAAAAAGGTATAAAGATTATCACTATGTAAGGTGTATAAAATGTGTTGATAATAGGGTACTATTGTATGATGATGTGAAAAAAGTGGAAAAAGTATTTTGAAAAGTTATTGATTGAGGAGTATCCAAAAGAGACATTATAGGATATCTGTTGGAACGAGAGACTCATAGATTTAATTAGTGAGAAAAAGGTATGGGAGGCTATGGAATCAATGAAAAAGAATAAAGCAGTGGGGCCAGATGAAGTGTCAGTAAAAGTATGGAAAATATTAGGCGGTGTTGGTATAAGGTGGTTGAAGGATCTTTTAAATAAAATCTTATTAGAAGGGAAATCCCAAATTAATAGAGGAATAGTAGTGTGGTGCCGATATTTAAAAGTAAAGGAGACAAACAGAAGTGTGGAAATTAAAAAGACAAAAATCGTATGAGTCATAATATATATATTTTGGAAAAAGTAATAGATAAGAAAATGAGAAATGAGACATCGGTATCTAATAACCAATTTATATTTATGCCTGATAAGTCAATAATGGAGCCATTATTTTGTGTGAGACAACTAATAGAAAAGTTTAGGGAAAAGAAGAAAAAGCTGTGTATGGTATTTATAGATTTGAAGAAAGCATATGATAGCGTACCGAGAAAGGTTCTAAAGTGGGCGAGAAAAGGTGAATTAATATAATAGAGGATATGTATGATGGCACTTGTACTAGGGTAAAAAATGTGGGAGGAGTAACAGAAGGTTTTCGGATAAGAGTAGGAGTGCATCAGGGATCTGTTTTAAGTTTTTACTTATTTTCTATAGTGATGGATGAAATTACTAGAGAAATACAAGGAGATGTGCCGTGGTGCATATTGTTCACTGACGATATAGTATTAATAGGAGGAAATTAATCAAAGGTTAAAGTTATGGAGATCAGTTCTTAAAGGAAAGGGATTAATAAGTAAGAGTAAGACAGAGTATATAGAATACGACTATGATAAAGGAAAACACAAGGTAGGTGATATAAGGAGACCAGTGACAATAGGCGAGGACGTGATCGGAAAGGTAGAAAGTTTTAAGTATTTAGGATCAGTTGTGTAAAATAGCGGTGGTATTGACGAGGATGTAAGACACAAGATTAAGTGAGGGTGATTGAAGTGGAGAGAAGCGTCTGGTGTGTTATTCGATAAGAGAATTCTAATAAGGTTGAAAGGTAAGTTTTATAAGACTGTAGTAAGACCAGCAATAATGTATGGTTCACAGTGTTGGGCGGTTGACAAGAAAGTAAAGCAGAGAATGAGTACAGTAGAGATGAGAATGCTTAGATGGATGAGTGGAGTGACTAGAGAAGATAGGATAAGGAACAAACATATAAGAGTAAGTATAGGTGGAGCGTCAATCGGATGGGAGAAAATAGACTTGGATGGTTTGGTCATGTTATGAGGAGAGGAATTGGAAGCTTTAAGAACAGTTATATAAATGAATGTTGAAAGAAGAAGAGGTAAAAGAAGACCAAGAAAGAGATGGAGTGATGTTATTGAATGTAATAAGAGGACAGCTGATGTGAGCGTAGAGGATGTGGGAGATCGTGTCAAGTGAAGTTTAGGATACAGGTAGCCAACCCCAAGTAGTTTGGATTAAGGCGAGGAAAAAGAAGAAGAAGATTTAACTTTAAAAGTTGAATCGATTCTTTGCTTTCTCTTACATCACTGACCAATAAAAATGATTTTAAGAGATTTAGCCAAAAAATTAATTTAAAATGAAATAAACTTTTTTTTAACTAGTTAAGTTTATGTACTTTTTAATTATTTCCATTAACTTGCCAATCTTTGATATATGGATATACTAAGATATTATCAATTATTTACATACTTTTAATTTTAATTGTAATTTTTAAATTCTTTTAAATTTTTGATTTTCTATTTTATAAATATTTATTTACTATGATCAATTTGAATCGCCTAGAGATCTAAGTGATAAAAAATTTAATTGATTAACTTAAAAGTTAACTGAATTAAAAGTTTGAGAAATAATACTTTCTCAATTTTGTTGGCTTTGGGAAATATTGATTTATAGCACTGTATTTAATTAAAATATGGATCATTTTTTTTTTATTTTTACATTTATCTTACTTTTTCAAAATTTCACTTAGATCCCTTCAGTTGCAAATGCCTCATTAAATACCATAAACTATTTTTTTAGTTTTATAGCATTATAATATTTAATTTTACAAAAATATACGAGCTTTACTTGTATTTTTTTGTCAGTATTCCATTGTACAAAAATAAAATCATAACATAAAGTAATTTACTTTCTTAACAAGCAAAAGTCTCTCTCCTTCTAAAGTTGTATCAAAGCAAACATCAACGCGATTTTCTGGTATGACTGAATTTAATTTTTCACGAGATAATAAAAATCCGTCTGGTTTGAGAGTATTGAAAATTTGGTCCAATAAATCTTTATCTTCTAGAACTTCAGTTGCAACAACTAAATAGGCAGATTGATCAGCAGATAATTTTTTGTCATCAATTGTAATGTTTGATGGTAAATCGGTCAATTGAGGATTGTTTCCATTTGAATAAATAGAAACCTCAGGCTATTTATATTAAGTGTCATATAGTAAATTTTAATTATAAAACTATTAGTATTATTTATTGCTTCGTTTTACCTGCAAAAGTGGCAAATCTGCTAAGACATTCAAAATGATAGGACTGATTACATGAATATCAGAATTTATTAACTTATTTAAAATTTCTATAGTTTTAATATTAATCCCCATCACATTTTCTATAATCAAATGTAATGAAATTCGAACGACATCTTCCAAAGTGTATTTCTAAAAATGTTTCTTATTTTATTATAGATATTATATTTCGACCAGTAGTGTGAAATTACCAATTTTGAAACGTTGGGAACAAATACATATTTTTCTATAACGGGATCTGATAGTGGTTTTCTTTTAGAAATTGCATTTGCATATAAGCCTCTAATTTCAACACCTCCAGATTTTATTAAATCTATTTCTGGATAGACGTGTACAGGAATTTCTTTAAAAAAAAAATATATATATATATATAAAAAAATATTTTTGCTTAATTAGGTTATACAGTAGAACCTCATTAATCCGGACCTCATTAGTCCGGACAGCTGTCTAATATTACGAAAAATACGCAGTTTATGCCGTAGAATAAAATAAACATAAAAGCAAGTTCCTCGAATTTCCCATAAGTACATATATTCTTATCTACCGTCATTAAAGTTATTATAAACTAATATCATGTTGCAATACATATATTGTATATTATATATAGTAATTAGTATAATATAATATTCTTAAATCTATAATACGGGCATGTTTTTTGGTTATTTTGTTTAATCCGGACTTTCATTAAATCAGACAACCTAGAGCCCTTATCAGTCCGGATTAATGAAGTTCTACTGTATATATATATATATTTATATGAAATAAATATTTTAAAATTCTATACCTTATAAGCGTATCAACTTATTTTAGATTCAATGTGAAGCTGAGAAGGTTTTTTTAAATGATAACATATTTTACTGGGTTAAATTACAGAAAATGACATAACTAACTACGTAGATGGTTGATTAATGATAACTATTGAAACAGTTTTTCGAAAATCATGAATATTTTTAAAAGTAGACTGAAGGCGTAGTGCGAGTTATCTTATTTTTACCATTGCGCATCATTTTGCCACATTCCTTTAAATTTCTAAAATACTGATTCAAAAGTTATCGACATTTAAGAAAGTAAAATGTGTATGCTACCATTTAAAAAGATTAATTTATTACTCTTATAAGGGATAAGGAATAAAATGTAAAAATATTTAACTACTTATTAAACGAAAAATGAATTCTACTTATATAGGCATCTTATCTAGATAAGTCAGTACGTATCATGCTTCGATGCGAAGGAGCCGGAGTTTTTTTCTGTTCAGCTGGTCTATTCACGAATATGAGAAAATGATATTTAGCATTACATGATTGTTTTAAAATATAAGATTATTTTTAGAAAAATGATCAATGCCTTCAGCCTTTGTCAACTTGAAATTTTTATCAAGCTTTTTTAACATTTAAACAGTAGCGTGGGGGGTCTAGCATACCCCACATAAATAAAAACGGATGTATTACATTGCATAAAAGGTGTACATAGATATAAATTTAGAAGATGGTTTTTATAGTAATATTGAATCGATTTTCACAAATAAATACCTTCGAAAAAAAAATGTATGACTTAAAATATTCATAAAAATTGAAATGGGTCATATTTACCCCCACGCAACTTTTTTTTGGACTTGTATTTTTTTCAAAATATCGTTTTATCGTAAATGCAATGTTATAATCGATATAATATTGTGGAATTGGAATTATGTGGATCTACCACCGACTGTGCAATTAAGTTTTAATAATAAATAATCCATTGAGAATTTCCACTACTCGATGATACGGAATAATAAGAACAAAACATGTAATAAATACATCGTGTATATTAAACAGTATGCAAAGATTGTTGGGAGAAAAATCAATATTCAACAGATTCAGAATAATTGTATATACTCGTATCATAATAATTAAATGTATTGTAATTATTACAATATATATTATATATAATTGTTATATTATTGTTATATTATTAATATATATATTATATTAATAATAAAAAAATTCAATTCAGAAAAATGATTATATAAATGTAAATACACATAAAACTAATAAATATAAGTCGTGTTTGAGCTCAAAGAAATACAAGAAAAGTTAATTAATATACATTTTCTAATAATAAAAGCTTTTGTTTTGCGTCTTAAAAATAAGATTTTGCAGTTAAAATAATTTTTTTACAAACCAAAAATTTTAATAAAATTTTGAAAATTAAGTTTTTTTTTGTAATATAATTTTGTAATTTATTTATTTTTAATTTTTATCCATATTTATACATTATATGGTAACAAATAATGTCTTTGAATTAAAAAAAATGAACTTTTTTATACATATTTTATACTTTTTTAGAAATGGCGTCTGATAGACCCCCACGCGACTATGAACGTTAAAAATAGGCACGCGTCTGCTAAAGGGTTAAGTCCGTTCACATTGTTATATTTGATTATCATTTTGTGGGTGGGCATTACAACTTTGTTTATATTTTATGTTTCATTAAAAAAAAAACAAAATTACATGGTTATTGCAATTGGATTTTAATGTTGTATTAAATGGTAATTAGTTATTATTGAGTATAATTTTAAATACACATTTATATTTTATAATTTTGTTTTATAGTTTTTTTACATCACTCCATTTATATAACTGTTCTTAAAGCTTCCAATTCCTCTCCTCATAACATGACCAAACCATCCAAGTCTATTTTCTCCCATCCGATTGACGCTCTACCTATACTTACTCTTATATGTTTGTTCCTTATCCTATCTTCTCTAGTCACTCCACTCATCCATCTAAGCATTCTCATCTCTACTGTACTCATTCTCTGCTTTACTTTCTTGTCAACCGCCCAACACTGTGAACCATACATTATTGCTGGTCTTACTACAATCTTATAAAACTTACCTTTCAGCCTTATTAGAATTCTCTTATCGTATCCAACAAGGAAAGACTGGTAAAATATATTACAAATGTAATTAATAAATGCATACTATTATATAAGATATTCTTTAACGATCAGTGTAGAAATAATGTTTGATAACTACTAAAAAAAAAATTTATAGCTCATTGAAACAGAGTATTGTTGACTCCGATATTACAAAAATTAAATTAGTGATAAATTTTCATTTTGAAACAAAATCCTTAAACAATTATAAAAAACAAATAGTTGATCAGATAAAAAAATTATAAGACCAAATTTTTTTAAAAATTTTTCTTTTATATCATCAAACCAAAAATAAGGGTTCCCAATAACAAAATTAAAGTTTATATTTTTTAACACTAAAAGGATGAAAAAAAAAATATTTTACTACATTTTATTGTATTAAACAATTTTGTTCTTTACAAAATTTTGAATTTCCAATTGAATCTTAATCGACCACTCTATATACATATATATATATATATATACAAGGCCGAAATTGAGGTCCCGGTACTCAAGTTATGAAATCATTGCTTCACCTTTCTATTTTTCCTAACTACCATAATTTTATGTCAATGGGGGGGAGGTCCGCATCTCGTAAATACGTCACAATTCTTCTTTTATATTATATTACATAAAAAAATTTTCTTGTATCTATTTGAAAAGAGAAATTACTATCTAACTTATCGAGATGGCCTACTAAAATTTTGGGCCCAAGATAGCTGCCTCGTTTACCTAGGTCAAAATACGGTCCTGTATAAATATTTATCGTTTTATAAATGATCGAATTAATAATATATATATATATATATTAAGTATGTGTAAATGGAAGTATATCAAGTTGATTTATATTGATTGTATATCAAGTAAATATTATCATATTTAACATATTTACCAGGATTTTCAGTTGACAGTTTTTGTAAGATTGAATTATGTTTTTTAACATTAATGACGAGTTTTTGAATAGAAGTTGGAACAAAAAGGCCTCTGGTGTCTTCTTTCAGTATTTGAATTTGTAACATATTGTCCATAAATGCTACCCAATTATTAAACCAGCTAACTTTTCCAACGGTAGCTATTAATGTTAATTATTTACAGTTTGTTATGTGTTCTGATTAAATAATTATTGAAACATACCATCCAAGTTGACTCGTGTCAAACTTCTGAATAGTCCTTTATAATTATATCCTCTAAGTCTCAATTCTTTATATATATCTTTACCGACCAGATCGCAATCATCTTCTTTATTATTGTGAGGAGGTACATCAATCATCAATTTATTAATATCAGTTGGAACATATATACGACCAGTAACAACAACTGCTCCACTTTCAACAACTTCAAATGTACCACTTCCTTTTTGTACCATAACAGTCAGATCTAGAGCTCCTTCTTTTGGAATATTAGTTGCTCTTAGAAAACGAACATCCTCAAAGACTACAGGAATCTCAGAATGAAGTTCTCCACGCATCAATGCTAGTGTTTCCCATGCCAAAAGCTAACACATATAAATTCATAGTAAAAATTCTTAAATGAATTTATAGTATTAGTTTCATTAAGTAACTTACAAGATATCCAGTTGCAGGGTAAAGGTTTCTGCCATCAATGACGTGACCGGACAAGTACTCGTATTCATCATCTTTCAATGAAATTGTGATATTACGTTCACCAGATTTAATTTTATCTTGAACTCTGTACATAGTGACAAACCAATCTTCTGAATGATCCCACCGTACTAATGGTGCAATCATTGGAGTACCTCGACTGACCGGAAATTCGACATCTGGATAAAGACTGCTCAATTTTGGGTTTAATCCAACCTCAAACATACTAAAGATAATTTGTTTTATTCATTAAATAATTTGTTTTTATTTAAATTTAATCTTACTTTCCTAGAGCAGTAAATAAATATTCAAGTCCATCATCGTATTTTTTATTTATTAAATCGATGTTTGTAAACTTTTTCATCGAATGTTTTAGTATATTCTGTAAAATTCCATGTGGACCTAATTCAACTAACAATGCATTATTTGGTAAATGTTTTAAAGCTTCCTCAAATAGTACAGTATTCGATAGAGAATTAGCAAAATATTCAGTAGAACAGTACTTAGAACTGTCTGTATCCCAATTAGCTTCAGATATTGAACTACTGATCCATTTTTGAGTTCTTAATTTGGGGTTAGGAATAATTTTTTTTAAATATTCATTTATTTTTGGTGTAACTTTATTAAATGATTTTGAATGGTAAGGTATGTTATTTAAGTTGATTATTTGAGTGGATATATTTTTAGATTTTAATTGAGAAACAGTGTTTTCAATTTGTTCTTTTGGTCCTAAAATAGTACAATTATTTTCAGAGTTATGCCAAATTATTTCAATATTTTCGGAAAGTAATTCTTTTATTTCTCGATGCCCAATATCAACAAATGCTATAGCTCCATTTGATAATTTTGTATTTAAGGTAGCAAGACCTAAATAGTAAGAAATCTTAATTGTTTCCTCAGCTGTAAGACATCCATCAGCATATGCACATGCAATTTCTCCTAATGAATGTCCAACTAAAAAATCTGGAGAAATTTTTAGAACACACATAATATCATATAATGCGACCTAAAAAAAATTAAATTAGAGTAAGATAAGTTGTTAATATATAGGGTGTTTAGTAAGTAAGGAAATGGGTTTCTATAGTTATCATTGTTTGTAATAATTGACCTGTTTCCTTACTTACTGAACACTTATATCAACACTCTTTACATATATTATATATATAGAATGCCCCACTAGATTTTAACATAACTTTTGATCCAAAGAATATTTCGCGCTACTTATTTTTTAAAATAATTTTACAGTTTAAAAATATGTTAAAAGCATACTTTTTATTATTTGTCTATAATCTTATTTCAGCGTATATAATAGACAGTGACAACCAAAATGGTAATTGCGCGGTTCTAAAAACATAACATTACAGAAGCTCCGCATTAGTTGTTTTTCTTATGATGGCAAAATAGCGTGTACCTTTATGGTAATAAAAGGGAGCTTTAACCCTCAATTATCATAATATTATTTAATGAAGGTAATGGTTGGGCTTTGGCTATTTATGGAGGTAAATATATTTCGTATATGTACAAAATATATTATATATAATTATATAATATATGTTTCGTACATATATCTTTAATAATATTGATCAAATGTTTTAAAATTATCTTGAGAAAATATTCTAAAAAAGTTTTAGTTAAACATTGTTAAAAGATTATATTTAAAATACTTTCCTAAATGTTTTGCATAAAATTTTTTGGAAATATTTTATAATCATCGATTTTAAAATTAATCATACCTTATATTATTAAAACATTATAATCTCGATATAATTATTTGACCTAATGGAACATTCTGCATATATATGTTGGCGTTTTTTAATTTACTTGTATAGCTGTTATTCCAACGAAAAGGTTGACGGCATTGTTAAATATATTCAAATCAAAGTCAGTTATAACTTTTATCAAATCAACACCAAATTGCCGAAGAATATTATGAGAATTATTAATCGATTCTCTAAAAACTGGTAACTTCATCAACGATTTGCCCATTCCAGACCACTGAGCTCCCATGCCAGAAAATACAAAACAGATGGGCAGTGGTTCTCCACAATAATACTAAAAAGAATAATGTTAAAATTTTTAAAACAAAAAAAAAATTTAAGTTACCTTTATGTCAATAAATTTATTTTTTGATGTCGTTTTTGATAAAATTGTGAATCCTCTGTAAATATGCCCATAAATTTCCTTTTCGTGTATATCATGAATTAAACGCACAAATTCTCTGTCTAAAGATCTTGAAGTACACTTAAAACGTTAATATAAATAAATAAACGTAAATATAAATGAATTAACTATATGAAATAACTAATTAATTAATTAATTAAAAAAAATCGTTTATACAATAGTATGCTCAAATTAAAACTCAAAAATGATTATGAATTATTTGTATTAAAATAAAAAAGGCCTATAAATCATTTCTTGGTACAAAATTAAGAACTCTTTAATAATAATTATTGAGATAGAGATCATGAAGTCTATGCATCAAAAACAATAAATTAGTATACTTAATCATGTTGATAAAATATACCTTATACCCCTATATGAATTCATTACATTTTACTATAGAATAATATTTTCACAATTTAAAAAAAAAAAAAACTTTATTATTTGAATACATATTTAGCCTTACGTCATTTAATATTACTGATACAGCTTCTTCAGTCCTTCCAGATACTGCAACCAACCTAGGTAAATCGTCATCAGGAAGTCCATTGTTAATCTTATTTTTTGGATTTGACTCAAGTAACACATGACAATTAGCTCCACCAAAACCGAATGAATTTATGCCAACTAATCCACCTTTCCATGACGTTTTATCTGCTACAACTTTGATTCGACCATTATAAAATGCCGTGATATCTTTTCTTGGTGTATGAAAGTTTATATTTGGAGGTATGTATCCAGTTTCCATAGCTATAATAACTTTTGCTACAGAGCATAGACCTGAAGCTGGTTCTGCATGACCAATATTCGATTTCACAGAACCTATAAGTAACGGTTCTGTTCGACCAGGACAAAACACATTATCAAGAGCATTCACTTCTTCTGGATCACCTACCTATTATAATTGATATATGTTGATTTATATTAATTTTTTTTTTTATAAGTAAAAATTGTATTACTTTAGTTCCTGTTCCGTGGGCTTCGACCCATGCTAATTTATTAGGAGTTATTTCACATTCTTCATAAAACTCTTCTAATAATTTTTGTTGTAATGGTCCTGAAGGATAGGTTATTCCTTGTTCTTTGTAACCATCACAATTAGTTTTGGCATGTATAAGTCTAGCATATATCCGTTTAGAATATTTAGATTTTTGTAGATAAACGACACAAACAGCTTCTGATCTTACATATCCGTTAGCTGACTCATCAAAAGATTTACATATTCCGTCCATGCATAACACTCCCAAACGAGCAAATTGAAGAGAGACGTATGGGTGAAGACATAAATTACAACCACCAACAATTGCAGCGTCACATATTCCATCACGAATAGCTTTATAAGCGTGTTCTAATGCATACAAACTCGAAGAACATGCCGAGTCAACAGTATAGCTTGGCCCTTAAGTTAGTAAAATAATAAATTAAAAAACGGTACTGTAGTTAGATTGCGGCATAGTGGAGGAGACGCAGCATAGTTGGGACGAGTATCAATATATCACTATTTAAAAAACGCCTCGGTGCAAATCTGTAGATAATATTTAATTTTAAGAGGAAATTGTTGAAAAAATTTCAAAAGCATCATCAAATCCTATTTTTTAATTATATTTTGATTACAAGTTTTATTATTTATAAGTATAATACATGAATAAATACTTATTATAGTAATTAAATTTAGTATAAAATTGATATATAATAATTTAATATTGTAATTTTTATGGAGAAATATAAAGTTATATATTTCGTTACCTCCATGGTAAACGTGTATCAAAATGTATGCAATGCTAGGCATGTTAATGATTTTCTCTAACTATTTGAAGTTAATTTGGTATTAAAAAATGAATAACTATTTTTATGATATCCCACAGATGACTTGATAAACTAATTAACAAATCTTATTTTATGGAGAAAACAAAATATAAAGTGTAAATGTAATTGAAAACAATAATATTGCCTAAAGGAGTCTAAACTATATTTTGAAATGAAATTTTATACTCGACCCATATGAACTGAATATACAAAATACTGTTTAAAGATAGCACATTTAATAACAAAAATTGATTTCTTTGTATATTACTTTTCTAAAATTGTAATAGTGTGATGTCACCACTAGAATAGATGAAAAATAAAGAAAAGAAATTTTGATGATTCTGACCATTTATAATTTTGTTATAATTTCAGTTATGAAATTAAAACTGTAATTTTTCATAAGTCATTAAAAATTAAACATTTTTTTCAAAGGACAGGCCCCTTTCTTTTAATATTCTTATTAAATGGACATTAAAAACTGCATAAATCTTTTCTGAAAATATTTATAATTAATACTTAAATCTTATTTATTATTATTTTTTGTCAAAGAGGAGGTTAAATGGTGTATTTACCACTTACTATAAATAGTATATGTTTAACTTAATGTATAGGTATAAATAATTGAAAAAAAAAATGAATTAGAAAACTATAACCACAAAAAACTGAGATATTTACACAAAAACTATACATTTTGTTCAATTTTGGTATTCATTTGCACATAAAATATTAGGTGTAGGACATTTTTTTTGTTTTAAATTGTAGTACGTATTATAAGCTTTAATTTAACATATGTTTTAAGGGCATAATATTTCCTGAACATTTTTAATAGTTAAGTCGAAAAAATTAGTTGTTCGTGCAAAATTTGCTATTTCAAATACCCTTGAGGCTAGAAAGGATCAGATTTTCAAAAAAATTATAAAAAAAAAAAAATACTTAAGATTATCCAAAGAAATTATTTTAATTCGTTCATTTCAACAAAGTTATGTCAGTTTTAAGAAAAAAAGTTAAAAAATGCTAAAATTTACCAATTTTAAAAATTGTACTATTTTGGGTAAATTCCCCTAAAATGAGAGAACTTTTTTTAATTTTTGAGGATAATGTCTTAAGCTATATAATTTGTTATATTTTGATATATCAATGAAAAAAATCGGTCAGGTGAGAGCTGAGAAAAAGTAGTGACAGACACATAAACAGAGTTATCGTAGTAAAATTAATACCATCTCAGCTTTGCATCGAAGCCATAATTAATGATTAATTTGCGCTTTAAGTTAAAAATTAGAATTTTAACAATAAAATTTAAAAATATATCAAAAATATTAATGAAATAAATTAATTAATTAAAATTAATATGCATATTTTTTTTACTATGATAACAACCGCGGTATCATAATTCATTGGCTAATTAATAATTTTTAGTACATTTTATAATTTTTTAACTTATTGATAATTTTCAGTATCGTATACCATTTAATCCTAGCCAATAAGATATCCTATTAGCCAGCATAGAACGAGCACATCCTGTAAGCCCAAAACCATTTATTTGTAATCTTTCATAAAACCATGTTTTTTCGGTTTCACTGAAACAAGCTCCCACAAATACTCCTGTATTTGTACCTTTTAATGCCGAAGGAGTGTAACCTTAAAGATAAATTTATATTTAGCATAATAGTAACTATAAAATAATTTATTTTATTTTTGGCATAAAATATTCTATTTTCACAACAAAATTTATATTACAGCACTACATCAACAGTTAATTTAATGAAAATTAAATATTTTAAGCTAATATTTAATGAATTGCATCATACTGAAGTACTATTGTCATTAGACTTTAAAATTAATTATTTATTGAGACAGAGAGGATTTTATTTTTGTATTTTAATTTAACCTGTGTATATAAATTAAATGCAATAAAAAAAATGTGATCATAGAAATTTATTCAGTATGATTAATATAGCGATGGTAATAATGTATTAAATCAAGAATAAAATTTATATTCTAGATCCATTAACAAATACCAATACAGGTACGTATATAGTTAGCCTCTCGATTTTTCCTTAAATTATAATAAGAAAAAGACTTTTTTTTTTTGTCTTATTTTAGTATCCTAAATTTTCTTAATTTGTCAATCATTAAATTAGTTATATTTATATATCTAGTCACCCTAGTTAATAAATGTTAACTTCCGAAGTGGTTCGAAAATTGATATCAACCAGTCATTTATTAATAGGTTTTTTGTGACACATAAAATATAAATAAAGTCAAAAAAAAAGTTAACTCCTGAAAGCATAAGGAGTAGATTTAAAAAGTATGTACTAATTAATAACTAGATATATGTGTATTTAAAATAAGTAAAAAAAAAATCTCTTCATATTTTAATTATTTAAGGAGAAATGGAGTCTTCAAATTTAAAAAAATCATTTTAAGTATTTAGTTAAACAATGTACACAAGATTATTTGATATTTATTTTGATATATAATTTAAATATGTTCAAGACTTTTTCATTAATAAATATTAAAAACCAACCCCATTGATAAAAATAGAAATACTGTTTAATTTATTTATAAAATAAAAATGGATTATTTGCCTGAATCTACAATTGCTTCGTAAGTTTTTTCTAAAATTATTCGACACATTGGGTCCATAGCGTGAGCTTGCTTGTAATGAATACCAAAAAAAGCTGAATCAAATTTATTCACATGATTTAATTTTCCAGTACGTTTTGGAATTTCTGGGTGTTCTAAATGAACAAATAATAATAATTTTTATTGCTTTAAAGAATTTACTTTTTGTATTTAAAAAAATTATAATGGCTCATACGAATTGACCATCTTCGATCATCTCCTGAAATGAGGTCCACTTTGTTGAATAAATTTTCAGCAAAATTTGGTATGCCATCTGAATTAGGAAACGATCCTGAAATTCCTGAAATAACAATATCTTCGCCAGGATCACATTTCACAAGTTTACGACCCGCATTTAACGCTAGTTGTCTATCGTTTTTTATTTTAAGCTCAATGGCTTGCTGTCTTGACATCTTTTTAGACTAAAATACGTTATAGTTAGAATATAGTATTTTTCAATTTGAAAAGAAAAATTAAAATATATAGAAGAACAAAACGTAATGTACTTTTATGACATTTTTATATATGCATAATTTAATGAATCAATATGTGTACAGGATGCGCTAACAATTTGCATATATTACTTTCTATACAGGTCTTTAGGTTAAAGATCAGTTGTGAATCTAAGGGTGAATAATTTAACTATTAACAATCATAATTGTGGCTAAAACTGCTATTTATACACCATATAATTTCATAAATACAGCACCGTGTACTTAAATTCAGAGGGGTGACATACTAAAATAATAATTTGGATAATCTTCTTTTTTAATCTCCTAGCACCATAATAAGTTAAAATATTTTTGAGTCTATTAATTCAGTAGTATTAATGAATTTGACTATAGACCTTATGTACAAAATTAATATAAGACAATCATTTTCAATAAAATATGGACGCCATTATTATTCGTATAAAGTAATTACATTATATATACAATTAGGAACAGTTGTATACGATATAGTATTATAAACTAAAAAAACATATATAGGTTTTAGTTTCTATATTCTATAAATCAATTAATTTTTTTATGTTAAATATATTGATTCATATTTTTTGAGCATATTAAGCGAAAATTATAAAATAAAATAACAACACTAAAAAAAGTATCAGACAAATTTTCCTCGATTAATCGACCTCTAAAAAAATACAGGTATGATATTTATTTTTTGAGAGGTCTCATTTCAATTCTTCTATTTGTTCCTGATTTTAAAATATTCTAGTAATGCTCTCAAAAAATTATTAGACTATAATTTTTTTTTGAGAATATATTATGTTTTAAAATAGTACTATGATATTATATACTAAATAATAATAATTTTCTGGGTTCAATATTTTTTGATTCTAGCAAAAGTCATCCAGAAATATTGTTTTATTTATTTAAAAATAAACTTAGGAAATTAGTAAGTCTATGATTGATATAATACAATCGATCCATTTTTATATTATCTTTATTAAGACTAAGACTATTAAAAGAAATTAATAAACTATAAAGTTATCAGAAAAAAATAAACTGTATGAATAATAATGACTAAAAAAATACTTTTTAGGGGATTAACGCACATAAAATTTAAGTATCTACTGTAAGTTAAATTTCATTCTAATCAGCTTCATTTTTTATATTGTATGTCAAAATAACTTGATAGAAAATAAATAGAAAATCATCATGGACTCTTTAGCCTCTATTCCAACTATCTGGGATCGTCTCTATCTTATAAAACGATTTAACCGGATATTTACACCGGCTGTCAACCTGACGTAACCTCATTATGATTCAGAGAATTAAATTGAGCGAGATGTGTATCACTGATAAAATTCTCGTATGATCATCCATCTAAGAATCAACAGTAAATAGCGCCACACCTAAAAAAACCATATTATAGCTCGCTTGTACTAATGTACTATATTGAGTGGTCTCACTTGTTCTAACAACATTAATAATTTTTGATAGAATAAATATTTTTTGCTGATTATTTTTTAAAATAACTAACTGATTTGTGGGCTCTAATAATAATAATATAAATATTATTTTTCTAATTTAAGAAATAAATTAAATAAAGAAAAAAATTGTAAAAAGTGATTTTTAAAGTAAATTTTATTTATTTATTTACTAAATTAACGCCCCAAAGGGCAAGAGTACAGTTAATAAAACTTAAACTAGACATCAATAAATTTGGAGCATACAATTAGTTATAAAAACAAACAATATAAGTAAAGATTCTTAACTATATAATCGATCTCTTTATTATATCTAAAGAATTAAAAACCCAGCACAGGGGGATCGCGGCACAGTGGTGTCGTGGTATAGTTGGATCAAGTATAATGATATCTGACAGTGATTAAAATCACTATAAAAAAAACGCTTCGATGTAAAACTTTAGATAGTGTTAAATTTTAAAAAAATTGGGNGATAGTGTTTAATTTTAAAAAAATTGGTGTTTTATTCCAAAAGCTACTTGATCTGCTGGTTCCTTATTAATATCTCGATTAAGATAAAGTATGTCGAATGAAAAAGGGATTATTAAAAAATATTATTTCTCATAAAAAAAATCGTGTTGATTCATACACATTTCAATANGTTGAAAAAGTAAATTTTTTGTGAAAAAGTTGTCTTTTTAAATCCCCCCTGTGGGCAGATAAAGGGTCAAATTTACAAAAAAAATATATTAAATGATAGGTAATGACATCAAGCATAAAAAAAAAAAAATTAAATTGATATGTTGATTTTTGAAAAAGTTAGAGCATTATTAAGTTAAAAATATAAAAAAATATTATTTTACAAAAATCGTAATTTTTTATTAACTTTGATGTCAACTTTCACCACGAAGACAAGTCCACAGGTCAAATTTTTTTTTTCAAATTAAAGTATATTACATAAGCTTTAATTTAAAATATATATAAAAGTGTCAGATCTTCCGGAACACTTTCAAAAGTTAAGTTAAAAAAGTTCTACTTTATATATACATTTTTTATATTTTAAGCCCCCCCATATATAGGGAAATGGTCTGATATAAAAAAAAAAGTATGTCCAATGAAAGATGAATATAAATACTACTTTTCATGAAAAAATTGTATTGATCCATACATTTTTTAAAAAGTTATAGCACTTAAAAGTAAAAAATGTAAATTATAAAATCGAGAATTTTCACACAAAAATAGATTTTGATAGCCATTTTCACCATGAAGTCAAGTCCAGAGGTCAAATTTTTTTTTTCAAATTAAAGTATATTACATTAGCTTTAATTTAAGATATATATAAAGGTGTCAGACCTTCCGGAACATTTTCAAAAGTTAAGTTGAAAAAGTTAATTTTTTGTGAAAAAGTTGTCTTTTTAAATCCCCCCTGTGGGCAGATAAAGGGTCAAATTTACAAAAAAATATATTAAATGATAGGTAATGACATCAAGCATAAAAAAAAAAAAATTAAATTGATATGTTCATTTTTGAAAAAGTTACGGCACATTTTAGTAAACAAAAATTGAAAAAATTTCGAAAATTAGCGATTTTTAAATTTGTAATTTTTTTGGAGGTTTCCACCATTTACGGGGAACG